ATCAATGCAAGCCTATAAGCCATAGCGTTTTGTAGTGCAACAATAAGTACATAAAAGTGAACATGGATATAGATTTCACTCAGTTAGCTCTATAATAATATACCAGCAGTTTGTTGAATTGTATCATAACCACTCGTTTCAGTTAAACATGTGAGTTTATTTTCGGTTTTTAACATAATTTAACAATTACTTTTGTTTCCCATGATTTCTTCCTTGTGGCACCACACGCTTACGTCGAACTTTTTTCGTGGCAAAACAAACAACCCCAACCCCTTTTACTTCTTACCTTGATATACTTATTATACTTTTAGCCTCCTTTTTCGCTTTAGTAAGAGTTTTACGGCACTTGCAACACAATACATGTAAGGTCATATAAGTGCCAAAGATTAGAGGTGTTACAAGAGAGTAACAGACACAAAAAAGGAGGAGAGAACTCAACTGATCAGGATGATAGATGTTAGGAAAGAAGGAGCAAACAACACCAGAGCACCTGCCAACCACCCATTTAGCCCCCTTTTGCTCTAGTTCAAGCATATTTACATTTGAACTTGCTATGTGGCATTTGAATTTGCTATGTGTTACATTTGAGATTTTTATGTTTACATTTGAACTTGCTTTTGTTGTATTATGACTTTTTATGACGTCATTTGTATATTTGGATTTGCTAGGTGTAATTTGGTCTTTCTATGCAGTCTTTGAATTTGTTATGTGTATATTTGAACTGAAAAAACTATTTTTTTAAAAAATCAAACCAGAAAAGGAATATCATTTTTCACAACCCATCACCTGGCAGCTAACAAAAGCATATCAAATCAATAGCCATCACTAGAACATTTTGAGACAATCAGACAAGATTAAATTCTCTCTCTCTCTCTCTCTCTCTCTCTCTCTCTCTCTCTCTCTCTCTCTCTTTCTCTCTCTCTCTGTCCGCCCCTCCCTCGTTAAACTTTATTAATCACCACCCCACCCCCAAAAGACACCCCGCAATTTTGGAAACTCTTTCATGAGTACACAAGCCTTAACACTCATATCATCTTTTTCAAAGAACCCCAGAGCCTCGCTCAAAACCAACCATGTAATAAACCAAGATGTAAAACAGGTCCATACATGAACAACCAGCAATGTAGAAGGCCCCTTTTATAAAGATTCTTTCTCACAGTATTACCTGGGACTTTCGTGGTCAAAATGTACGACGTTCACCTCTCAGTCAAAAGGTCTCGGGACCTGTCACTGTCAGCGACGGACAAACTTTCTTCTCTAAAAGTTTCTCCTATGTTATCCTTTCTTGTTTTCTAGTCATTGTATGCCATCTGCCTTTCTCTCTATCTAATCACCTTCACCCTGGGGGTGGCAGAGATGGTGGTTTAGGAGGATGGGGAGAGAAAAAAAGAAGAGATGACAGAAAAGCAGACATTTATGAAAGGGGAGGGGGTGGAGGGACAGGATGACAAGTTATGCAGGGAATGGGGGATTAAATGGCATAAGGAGGATCATTATGGGGAAAAAAACACTCTAAGGTAGTGTGCGTATAATCACTTTTATTTTATTTTCAGAGTACGTATATGTGCGCTGTACATCAACAAAACAAGGGAAAGGCAACCATACAAAAGAATAAGTTCTTGCATATTTCTTCACTTCTAATATCTTTGGCATTGTACACAGTAGTGTAATTTAAGTGGCACACACTGCACATCTATATAGCGCAGTACATTCTTGAGATTTATACAGGTGTAAAGGGACCAGATGCAAGAAAGGAATCATGGCAAGTGTAAAACACGTTAGTAGGTTGGGGGTAGGGGGGATGGGGGAAGGGGAGAGAGTTAAAGGATTCAAGCACCCTCCCAAAAAGTTATGAAACTCGCATTTTATAATACCAGTTCTTTAACAGTGCCGTAGCAGAGGAAGGCAAAATGACTTCACCGTTTCGCCAATATTTATGGATAAGGCATTTTGACACGGGATTACGTTATGCGCGCGCGCACACACACACACACACACACACACACACACACACACACACACTCTCTCTCTCTCTCTCTCTCTCTCTCTCTCTCTCTCTCTCTCTCTCTCTCACTCTTAAGCCTCTCTTCTTTCAGCCTCTCGCTCCATCAAGACATTAGTCCAAGTGGTTATTGAGGTCCGGTTCACTCAAACATTAAACTGAAAGTCGGTGGCACGGCTTATAGGTGACTGGTTACTGATATCATTATGCCCCAAAGAAAGGTACGCTAACACTATCGCAAAAATACAATACACTAACTGTAGTAGGCTACATTGCTATCGTTTCAGTTTGCTATCCTTATTGACTGCTATGCAAGTCATCATTGAAAAACAATAGGGCCTATCCCTAGATATACAGAATAAATGGCGTCGTCTTTTTGTCCCTTTCTTTTCTTTCCTTTTTTTTCCTCTTCAGGACATGTTCCTCTGGCTTACATACCTGAATATTGTTCACGCCACTCTATTTTTGGCATTTGAATTATGTAGTTTGTCAAAGATGCAAGCATCCAACTAGTTTACATTACGAGTACAATGAGCTGCTGTCAGTGATTTTACTTTCGTGTAAATCAAACAACACAGCCATAGCCCTGAGACTTAGAAGACACACAAGTATACTACACTTGTAGCCCCAACCACTGGTTGCTCACTATAGATTACGTAAGGGGAAAAAAGTAATACTTTTCTGTATATAACCCCAAGGCGTCTTTCAATCTATAAATCAATAGTTATAGCGGGTACCTCTATTTTTGTCATTGGCCTAATCTGGTTCGTATCCACGTGTTATCTACAACAAACAAACCTACTGCCACTGAGCACTACAGCCCTACATTGGGGGGAAAGGAATAATTTATTAACGTCACTGAAGCTTGGCTCAGCGTAAGTCTCTCGAGTGGTGATTAAATTTGCATGTACTGTTCTGGTTCTCTCCGCGACATGCAGTGCTCGATGAAACGTGAAAATGGGAGGGCATTGACTCCACTCGATTACATCGCAAAGGAAGGAGATCGTGGGCGGATCGAGCGACAATGTCTATTGTTATCAGCTTGAGGTGGGTCAAACATGCCATGTGTGCGGTTCATTGGGTTCTTGGAAGAGGACCCTTTGCTCTATATAGGCCTACGTTTGCCTTATTAACTAAGAACCCAGAATTGTCGCAAATCTAAATCTGAACGTGGTACTCATATGTAATCCCCTTAACACAATCAAAATATTCTTCGCCGACCATATTGGTAACACCAAAATAAAAACATAATAACAGGGAGTGGTAACAATTAGACAGGCAGCGGACTGTTGTCCCTGAGTGAGCTACCCACACACTCACCACATCCACCTTTATACACTGAATGTATTAATAATCAATTTTTTCTTACCACAGCCTCATTCTTCTTCGCTATTTCTAAACCTTTTTTGCAAAATGCAACCTGCATTAGTTTTCTAATGCCACTAAGACAATGTTTTATACATAGAAGCCGGTATGTTCTCCTTAGATTTCCACAGCACTGCTATGAACGGCATTCGGTCTGTATGGGATCTTGAACAACAAAAGTAAGATAGAAAGAAAAAAACCGCCATGCAGTGTTTGACTTTATTGCAAACAAAAATATCACAGCTTTGAAGATATGTAAACAATTCCAGCATTCGTTTGCTTCATGATGTGTCGAAGACAAAAGAGGTATGTCCCAGCAAATGTTTATGATCGTGCTCTCACGTACATGTAGTTACTACACTCACGCACTCACGCACGTGAGCCCATAGCTGTGTGTTAAGTGTGTGTGTGTGTGTGTGTGTGTGTGT